TGGCAGGGTAGGCCGTCCCCGGCCCGGCCCGGCCCTGGCCCTGGCCCCGGCCCCGGCCCCAGCCTCCGGCCCCTGGCCCAGGCCGCACGCAGTCTGGCGCCGCGAGGAAACTTTGGGAGGAAAGTTCGGTCTGCGCGGGCCTCGGGCCTGGGTCCGGGCGGGAGCGCCCTTACCCCTCCGGTCGCTGGGCAACTGCCCCGGGAGTGGACGCGGCGCCCCTTGCCGGTCCCCTGCGGGTCTGCCCGTTCCTGTGTTTGCTCGGGGCGGGGTGCGTGGGGCCGGGTCCCTGGGCGCCGTCCGACGTTTGGGGTGTAGGGCGGTCGCCGAGCGCCCAAGAAGCAAGTGCAGCCCGGCCGAAGGACGCCCCCACTCCAGTGCCTCTTCCTGGAGGTGCCGTCCGGTGGTCTCCTTCCCCTGCTTCTGCTCTTCAATTTTGTTTTTTAATTTATGAATCTCAGCAGCCTGTACATACTGTTGAGAACTTTTTACCAAACACATCTTTAAGAGGTTCCTTATTTAACTTTAAGAGGTTCCTTTTTCCTTCACAGTTAAATTTCAGTATTCAGAATATTTCATCAGACGGTTATAAGCCCAGATGGAGACTTTTGGACAGTCACAAAATCAATCTTCCCTATTTAGGGGGGCTGTAGGAGCCCGGGGTGTCATGCTGAGACAGAGTCTCCTGAGTCCGAGGGCTCCCTCCCTGGAAGCTGGGCTCGTATTTGCAGGGGTTTTGTTCCAAGTGGCTTTTACAGAACACCATCATAAGACAGGCTCTGGCCAGGGACCAGCAGCTTTTGGCTTGCTCCGTTTTGGGGGACTGCCTTTGCACGTCTGGAGAAGTGGGCACCTTCCGTCCGGCTCCTTCATTCACAGACATTTGGTGAATACCTGCTGCATGCCTGGCTGCCCCATGCACAAACTTTCAACCCACCCGGGGTGCTGAGAGCACAGCTGGGCAGAGGTGCCTAGACTGGCACAGCCCACAGACGTGTCCTCATGCTCCTTGCCGCCCTTCCTAACTCTCCCATGGCTCTGAGGCTCCGTTCCTTCCTCTGTGATGTGTGACATTTACTTTGCTGGTAAGAGGAGCAGATGAAACAACTGTCTGCACCAGTCCGAGATTCAGAGTCTGTGGTCCAGAGCGTTAGTTCCCTTTCCCGTGGTGAGCACACAGGCCTCCTTCACAGCACTTCCTCCCTGACTGCCTGGCACAGTGGCCACCATGGAGTTGTCACTTAAAATGTGACCATGAGTGAATGACTGACTGAATTTACCTTTCCTGTTTGCGTCACGTGTGTGTGTGTTGATCATGGCTCTTACTTGAAGAGATGATATTTAACAGTGATTGTCCCAGGGATGTTTTGATCATGTTATATATGTGTTCTCTTTATTCAGTTAATCTTCACAGTGATCACTAGACAGGGGCTAACATTATCCTGGGTTCATTCATTCATAAGGAGCCTGTGGAATCAGAGAGGTTAACTAACTCCTCTCCCCACCCCAACGTCACACAGCAGTGAACTGTGAACCAGGGATTTGGACCTGGGCAGTCTGGGTCCAGTGTTCATATTCTTCCACACCACTCTGTACTGCCTTTTCATCTTCCTTTTCTTTTCTTCTTTTTCTTGAGACAGAGTTTCCCTCTCACCCAGACAGTGAGTGCAGTGGTGTGATCATAGTTCTTTGCAGCTTGAACTCCTGGGCTCAAACCATCCTCTCATCTTAGCCTCCTCCTCAGTAGCTGGGACTGCAGGGGAGCTAATAAAAAAGGTTTTTGTGGAGATGGGGTCTCTCTCTCTTGTCCAGGATGGTCTTGAATTGGCTTCAAGTGGACCTCCTGCTTGGGCCCCCCAAAGTGCTGGAATTACCAGTGTGGGCCTCCACTCCTGGCCTATACTGCCTTTTAATACCAAGATTTTTCCTGTGACACTTTTTTTTTAGAACATTCTAATCATGCTGTGTGTTAGAACTTTGTTTCTTGTAGCATATATAACTAACAGATTTTCATTTTTGTGTGCCTGAGTATTTATAAAATCATGTTGTTTCTTCTTTTTTTTTGAGACACAGTCTCTCTATATCACCCTCAGTAGAGCGCTATGGTGTCACAGCTCACAGCAACGTCATCCAGCTCTTGGGCTTAAGCAATTCTCTTGCCTCAGTCTCCTCCCAAGTAGCCAGCCAGGACTATAGGCGCTCACCACAACGCCTGGCTATTTTTTTGTTGCAGTTGTCGTTGTTGTTTAGCTGGTCCAGGTTAGGTTTGAACCCGCCAGCCTGGATGTATGTGGCCGGCGCCCTACCCACTGAACTACAGGTCGTCTCTATTTTGTTTCTTCTAAAATAATTCTCCATTTGGCTTTCTAGGGTTTTGCTGAAGTACCCTACTTGCTTGTCACTGGCAGAGTCATTGGTGATTTCCATGTGGAAGGGTAAACGGGGGGCCTGGGTGCTGACAGAGGCACATGGTTCACAGTAGAAGCTTTTCATTCTCAGCTCAAGTCCGAGTGGCCTTCATGCAGTGAGTCTCAGAGTGTACACTTGGGACATTTCTCTCCCCTCCTCCCAGTGCATGTGCAGGGTCAGACCCCATCACGCCTCACATGTTGATGAGATCTTTCAATGTTAAAAAGTGCCTCGAGGCTTCTTTCCTAGTGTCTGTCGTCTGTGCCCTTCAGGAAATGATGCCAGATCAGTCTTGGGTATATCCTTAAAGCGTGCTTGACTTGTAAAGTTTTGTTACATTCAGCTAATTATTAAAGTGACATTTCTTTATTTGATGAGGAAATTTTTAATACATTTTATGGACTTTGATGCCATCTTGAAATAGAGAATTTAGGCTCAGTGCCTGTGGCTCAAGTGGCTAAGGCACTAGCCACATACACCTAAGGTGGTGGGTTTGAATCCAGCCCGGGTCTGCCAGACAACAATGACGGCTGCAACCAAAAAATAGCTGGCTGTTGTGGCGAGTGCCTGTGGTCTCAGCTACTTGGGAGGCAGAGGCAGGAGACTCTCTTGAGCCCAGGAGTTGGAGGTTGCTGTGAGCTGTGATGCCATGGCACTCTACCCAGGGGGACAGCTTGAGGCTCTGTCTCAAAAAAAAAAAAAAAAAAATAGAGAATTTACTCTCTCCTGAAATCTGAAAGTGATTTCTTTCGCTTCCCTGTGAAAGCCATGTCTTGTCTGGCTGTGGCAGAGTGAGTTCTCTCAGTGGCTGCTGTGACCAGCCCGCAGCATGGCTAGCAAGTTGCATGCAGGAGTTTAAACATGTTTCTGAAGGTGGTGTGGGGGAGTGGGGGGCTGGCTGGGGGCTCCTGCATCCTGTTGCTCTTCTGCTTTGCCTTTGCAGTGGGTCACCGTGAGGAATGGTGAGAAAAATAGAACATCAGGAGTCGGGGACGGGGCAGGTACTCAGAACACCCTTGGTTGCCCCATCACACACACAAATGTGGTTTGGAAAGGAAGCAAAGACCTCAGAGCAAAACACATTTAAATCCAAGAAGTGGGGAGGCACGTGTGGTATGCTCTGCTGTCACCCATCAGTGACGTAGGAGTGTATGACACACCTCCTGGATGAAGGGGTCCACCATAACTTGGACCTTACCTAACAAATGCCAACAAGGTAACTTAGTTGTACATACCCTCATATTAATCTGAAACTTGAAAACAGAGGCGGGGAAGTCTTTACAGGCAGGTCTGTGTTCTGTTCAACATACCTGAGCATTGAATGACCATTCAGGTGAGGGTCATGCTCGTAGTGAGACCCCTGGGCATGTGAGGAGGTGGCTGCTATGATGCCTCCCAGTCAGTGCTGAACTTCCTGTGGTGTTGGCACTGGATTCAGCATGCCGGGCTCCTGGTCAGGGGTGAGGTTTGCTTTCCGGAACTTAGTGCACTTTAAAGTCTCTGTGTCACTGTACCAGGACTAAAAGGAAGATAGTGTTTAAACATGATCAATGATTAAATCAGTAAATGCTCATTAAATAAATACCTCAGTCCTAAGAGTTAATATTAATTCTAGTTTGACTTTTAAATGCACTTTTCGTGTACACTCATTTCTGTCTCTGCTGTATGTTTACCTTTTCAAGTTTCTTTTTTTGAGACAAGAGTCTCACTTTGTCGCCGTCAGTAGAGTGGTGTGCCATCACAGCTCACAGCAACCTCAAACTCTTGGGCTCAAGAGATTCTCTTGCTGCAGCCTCCTGAGTAGCTGGGACTACAGGTGCCTGCCACAATGTCTGGCTAGTTTTCGAGATGAGGTCTTGCTCTGGTTCAGGCTGGTATCGAACTCAGGAGCTCAGACTATCCATCAGCCTAAAGCTCTCAAGGGCTAGGATTACAAGTGTGAGTCACCTCGCCTGGCCTGATTTCTTAATTTTTGCTAGTAAGGTTCAGGTGTTGGTGCTGTGGCCTCCTCAGACCGCTGGCCCAGCTTTGAGTCCTGATGTGGGAACTGGTGTGACATAGCATGCTGGCCCAGTCTGCGGCTCCCCATAATAAATGTGTTAACGGCTCACGTTGGTGTTTCCATGAACTTCTCGGCACTTCTTTTCTTTTCCTTCCAGATTCAGAAAAGACTTGCGGTCGTTTGGTGGAATTTCAGAGCACCCCTGTTCTTTCAGCCTGGCATCCACTACCATGAGTACCACTGACGTCTGTTTCACTGAGCAGTGGGAGTGAGAGAGCTTGGTGGGGAAGGTGGGGAAGGCCTGATGTGTCTGTCTGCACTCACTTTCTCTTTCTTCTAGTGGAATACTTGCTTACTTTGAGAAACAGACTCTAGGATTAGTCGTGATGAGCTAGCAACTGGCTCTGTAGCTCAGACCTGGTACTGCCTCCCAGCATCACCCACACCCCTAAGGGGCAGGAGCTCCGTCCCTGCAGCTGAGGT